TTAGGTCCCGCCGTCCTGAGGAGATTATGTATTAGCATATCAGCAACACGCCTGCAGCAGTTTGCTAAGAACTGGAAAAACTCTTAGATAAGTCAGGGAGACGGTATGCAAGAATGTTTGTGGAGGCATTGTTTATAAGAGCTCACACACACACACACACACACACACACACCTTAGAATACAACCTAAGTATCAAGAAGGGAATGGAGAAAGTGATAGGATCAGGTACTAGGAAGGAATGAACCAGAACTAGCCAATGGACATGGATGACTCTTGTATACTGTTGATCAAAATAGCAAGTTGCAACAAAACTGTACTTACGTGTTATGCTGTTTATGTAAAATTTTAAAACAAGCAGAGCAATGCTGTTTATTGCTTAGGGATATTCGCATAAATATTAAAATACAGGGAAATGCATGGCATAGATAGATGCCCAGTTCTGGAGCAGCTGGTTACCTCCGAGAGCTGAGGCTGGGGCGAGCCGGAGGGGGAAGTGTCCATGTTGCCAATATTTTGTTCCCAGGCTCGCTGGTAGATACATCCATGTGTGTTGGCTATACATTATACTTAGTTATATGTCGAGTATCTTATAGAAGTTTAAAAAAGCAATAATTAAAGCTGCGAGAGAGTAGTCCCCAGTGAGACCGGCAAAGGGAATTTGGGGTCAGATGGATGGGGTGCGCTGCAGGCCATTTTAAGGTTTGGCTTTCATTTAGGGATGAAGGGATCCTTGCTGAGAGATTTCAGGAAGGGTGGGGGTGATCCCCTTAACATTTCATTAACATTTGGAACATTGACTCCTGCTAGGGAGTAGAGACTGGATCCATGGAGAGTGGTGCAGTTAGGAGAAATTTGCTATAGCCCGAATGGTAGAGCACTTTCTCTTTAAAGTGCTGTCTTCTCCTGCTTCCAGAATGGTCTTCCTCCCTTGTTCTCTCCCTCTTCTCTGGACATGCCTCTCCATCCCTATCTCTAATTCCCTTTCTTCCTCTGGCTCCTTAGTGTTGCTGTTTCTCAGAATGTTTCTTTCTTTCTTTTTTAAAAATCTCTTTATTTATTTTTTTAAATGTATATGTCTTAGCATTATTTATATTCCAACTTCAGTTGCCATCTCTATGCTTTTAATTCTCAAATTTATTTCTGTAACCCAGTCCTTCCTCCCGGCTCTCAACTGTCTACTGGATATTTTTTCCTTGACTGTCTCATAATTACACAAACTCCAGCATGTCCAAATGGAGTTATTCTCTTTTCCAGATGTGCCTTTTTCCTGCTGCCATTGGGGTCTTGGCTAACCATATTGTGACCTGCCCAGCTGTCTGATCTAGAAAACCGGGTACTCTTCTAGACTCTGCTCTCTGTCAACTTTCCTCTTTAACTGGTTTTCATATGAGGCATTAAGGGTAAGGTTTTGGTGCTATGTGCTATGACATATTTAGGGATCCAGGAATGCTCAGTCACTGATGTGCTGGTCACTTCACTCCCTCCTATTCAGAATATCTCAGTGATCTCACCCCCAGCAAGATAAGATGCCAACTTTAGAGTGCTGGATCCAAGGCCCTTGTTGATCTGGCTTGTGTAGACTCTTCCTGCCTTCATCTGCTGCCATTTTCCTCTTTTCACCTTCTTTGCAGCTACACCAACCCACTTGAAATCCCTGAATGTGCCCTACTGTTTTAGGGCTCTGTGCCTTAGTGTATGCTTTTCCTTCTGCTTAGCATGCCTTTCCTTGCTGTGCTTGTCTGGTGAACTCTTGAAGTTTTGTAAGCCAGTACATTATAGCACTTGTCTTGTCCTAATTCCTGGTTTACATTCCTGTTTATCCCCAGTAGACTCTGAACCTCTTAGGCACAGAGTGTGTCTCTTAAAGGTTTTTTGTTTCTTTTATTTTTATTTTTATTTTTATTTGAGAGAGAGAGAGAGCAAGCACATGTGTGAACGGCCAGAGGAGCCGAAGAAGAGGGACAGAGTCTTAAGCAGGCTCCATGCTCAGTGTGGAGCCGGACGTGGGGCTCCATCCCACTACCCTGAGATCATGCCCTGAGTTGAAATCAAGTCAGACACTTAACCAACCGAGCCACCCGGGCGCCCCTCAGATTTTCTCTTCTTGTCCTGACACATGGCAAAGACTCTGCCAGTATGTTCACTTAGGGTTGACTCACCCAGCAAGCTTCCCCTTTGTTTTTGGGCCCCTGGGCTAGGATTGTTTGAGTTAGTTGCAAATTACTGAAATAAACATTCCAGAGGGAAAAATACATTGTAAACTCTTAGAACAGATATTCTTTGTCTTCTGCTGCAGTTTTGGTATTTTCTACTTTGCTTCTGAGCAACTCTGGAAGGATTTATAGGAACATTTTGAACAAAAGTGGGGGTTCTCAGTCCTGTTTCCTGACCCTTCCAGGAGCTGTCTTTACTATCTCCTTTCAGTTTCTTTTTGGTCAGTCTTCAAGTTTTCATTCACACTGCCTTCTGGTCATCTCCCAGATATGTTTAAACTTCCATGTTTCATGAGATGATAATAATAATAAATAATATAATAATAAATAATATAATAATTATATAATAATAAATAATAATAAACCTGTCTTCAACTGCTGTGTATTCTTCAAACTCTTTCCTTATTTCTGTTCTCCTTTTCATTGTTAAACAAAAACAAAAACAAAAACAGTTATTTCTGCTTGATGCATTCAGTGGCTCATAATCTTTGCACCCCACCCACCGGAATCTGACTTTGGGCATTCCCACTAGCCAAAAGCTTTCTTTGAAAGCGATGAGAAACTTCCAGCTTGCCAGTCCAACTCTTTCTCTTTAGCCATAAGGCCGCCCCTTCTCTCTGTAGTTTTTGATACTATCATATTGATGATCTCTTCCTTTTAAAAAAAGTGTTTCCACTCTTAGCTTCTGTATCACGGCACTCCCATAATTCCTAGTTTTTCTCTGACTCTTGGGTTTCACTGGAAAACTAGAGAAGTGTCTTATATTTGGAGGTACCATAAATTTGAGCATATATGATAATTTCTTTATCCGTTTACATTCATTCAACACATACTGAACTGAGGGACAGCAAAGCACCAGGCCCTGGATGTATAGTGGAGAGAAAACAGATGTGGTCTAACTTTATGCAGTCCAGAGTTTCAACTTTGTTATCTGTTACTGGGTAACACATTGTCGCAGACTTTGTGACCTTTGTAAGACACAGGTGTTGGGGATCAGGCATCAGGGCGAGGTCTAGCTCTGCCCTTGGCTTAGGGGCCTCTCGCTAGGCTGCAGTCATGGTGTCTGCCAGGGCTGGGGACCCAGCTGCGGCCTCCAGCGGGGACAGATCTGCTTCTAAGCTCACGTGGACGTTAGCAAGTTTCCTTTCCTTGCCGACCGGTGGGCTGATGTTCCCAGTTCCTTGCTGGGGTTTGGCCAGAACGCACCTTCAGTTTCTTTCCACGTGGGTCTTTCTGTATAAGCTTGTTTCATGGGATCCAGCAGGGGAGAGAGTAGAGTTGACTTGCAAGATGGAAGTGATAACCTTAGGAATGTGTTCGTGGAAATGACATCCCATTATTTGTACTGTACTCCAGTGGTTAGAAGCAAGTCACAGGTCCTGCCCACCCTCAGGAGGAGATCACACAGGGCGAAGCTACCAGGAAGCAGAGACTCCCTGGGGACCTTCTTAGAGTCCTCCTGTCACAAACCTCTTCCTGTTTTTCCTGGTATCTGCCCAGTCATTTATTCTACAAACCCTAACCCTAGGCAGCTCAGATGGTTGAACGTCCCAATCTTGGTTTTGGCTCAGGTCATTGTCTCAGGGTTGTGGGATCGAGCCCCGTGGCGGGCTCTGCACTCAGCTCAGTCTGCTTGAGATTCTCTCTCCCTCTACCCCTTTCTACCCTGTGCTCACTCGTTTTCACTCTCCCTGCCCTCTCAAATAAATAAATAAAATCTTAAAAAAAAAAAAAGAAAGAAACCCAGAGATCATTTTCAATACTTCCCCCTGAGGTTTCACGGGCTGCTGGGTTCTCTACATTCTGCCCCTGTGGCACCTTTCACGCTGTCCTCTACTTTCCACTGACGGTGACATGGTTTCGTTGGTTGTTAAGACGCTTCTTTCTTTAAATGCCAAAAGGCAGAGCCTGGGTCTTATTCTTCTCTGAATTCAAAGTGTCAGCCTCTAGCGTGATTCACAGTCTTGGCTGCACACTGGAATAACCTGGTAAGCTTGGCACATCATCCACTCCTGGGAACCCAACGCCTGGGACCCACTGCCAGAGACAAGGATGCGGTCGGTCCATCCAGGCGCAGCTGAACATTGGCGTTCACAGTCTCCGTGATTCAGCAGTGCTGGGTGGCCCAGTCGGTTACTGTTGGACTCTTTCTTGATTTCCACTCAAGTCAGGATCTCAGGGTCGTGGGATCAAGCCCTGCATCAGGCTCTGCACTCAGTGGGGAGTCTGCTTGTGGGTCTCTCTCTGCCCCTCCCCCGACTCATGCCTGCATGTGTGCGATGCTCACTCTCTCTCTGTAAAAGAAATAAACAATAAAACCTTCGAAAAGTCTCCTTGATTCAAACCTGCAGGCAACCTTGAAAGCCATTGCTTCTTGAAGAAATCAAGTCTCCGGGAGAATGAAAGGTTGAGAAAGTGGTGAACACTTCATGCATGGGAAGAATTTAAAACTAGCGTCAACGTTAAAAAAAAAAAGAAAAAATCACCCACATACTTTAAACGGTAGATGACATCACTTAGTAATCCAAACGATCTCTGTGTGGTCAGTGAAGGCGGGGAATATGTTTTTTGGTGGGAATGAGGGGGAAAATCAGAAATGTAAAAGAGCAAAGATAGAGTCTTTGGAAATACAAAACTTTCGTTTTAGTGCATGTGAAGTAAGCAATGAAGTGAACTGAAGAACCACCTGGGATAATTAGAATATTTCTTCGTGTTGAGCCTCTGTGTGTGTTTGTGTGTGGAGTAACTTAGTTGGGAGTTGTTCTGATTTTCTCCTTTATTTTCTAGGAATATCTTGAAGACAATTGCCCTGGGTCAGATGTTGTCCTTGTGCATATGCGGGACAGCCATCACCAGCCAGTTCCTGGCAGAAAAATACAAAGTGAACACCCCCATGCTCCAGAGCTTTATCAACTACTGCCTGCTGTTTCTCTTTTATACAGTGACGCTGGCGTTTCAGTCAGGTAGGTCAAATGTGAGGGTGACCTTTTCAACAAATTATCTTCATAAAAATGTTTTGGCTTCTAGATATTAAAAAAAACAAAATGAGGTAAAAACCAAGAACAGGAAACTGTTCTTCATAGAAGTTATTAGATAAGTATGACACCCCTGAATTCTCTGAAAATTTATGGAGATTTAGGTATGATTCAGTGAAATCGTTGATTAAAACAGGTAGCGCCAAACTGTCCCAGTAGAAGTTGTCAGAATATAAAAAAGTGCTGGTGTGCCTGGCTGGCTTAGCGTGGGACTCTTGAGCCCCATATTGGGTGTAGAAATTACTTTAAAAAAAATTTAAAAATTAAAATTTAAAAAAAAAAACTGTAAATGCCATTACGAGTTAGGTTTTGTTTTTTTCTCCCGTGGTTGATATTTAAGAGACAATACTAAACAGCCCTTAAAAAGAGCCTCACTCTCCAAAATATATATTTCCAGTTAAGTGGAACACTGGTTGCAGGTACATGAAATCTGTGTCTTGAGGGAGACAAAGACAAGGAACTGGCAAGGAATTAACATCTTTATCGCTGGCTGGTTTTTGTTGTTGTTGTTGTTGTTGTTTTTTAAGGATTTATCATTCTTGGGGCTCCTGAGTGACTCATTTGTTAAGCGTCTGACTTCGGCTCAGGTCATGATCCCAGAGTCGTGGGATGGAGTCCCGCATCAGGCTCTCTGCTCAGCGGGGAGCCTGCTTCTCCCTCTCCCTCTGCTGCTCCCCCTGCTTGTGTTCCCTCTCCCACTGTCTCTCTCTCTCTCTGTCAAATAAATAAATAAAATCTTAAAAAAAATAATGCATCATTCTTTTTAAAAAGATTTCATTGTTTATTATAGAGAGAGATGGAGAGTGTGTGCGTGTAAGCAGGGGATGGGGCAGAGGGAGAGAATCTCAAGCAGACCCCCTGCTGAATGAGGAGCCCGATGCGGGGCTCTGTCTCACAACCCTGAGATCACAACTTGAGCCAAAACCAAGCGTCCGAGGCTTGCCTGACTGAGCCACCCAGATGCCTGAGTGAAGTTGTTTTAGAATCATTGTAGAAATATGATTTGTAGCTAACGACACAGAAAATGGGCAAAGCGAGATTCTGGTGGACACTTTTGTGCCAGGCATCATTTTAATTGATTAACTCACTTTGGTGATGTGTCACCTCACTCCCAGTGAAGCACGTGGGGATTACTGTTACCTCCACTTTGCAGATGAGGAAACTGAGGCATGCAGCACTTAGGTAACGGGCCATGAGTCATGTAGGTAAGAACTGGAGCCGGATTCCGACCCAGCTAGCCTGCCTCTGGGCCCATCCTCTTACAACCATTCCACACTGAGGGCTGCTAGTCGTGACAGACGTCCTTCCCACGAGAGGAGGGCATGGCTTTTAAAAATAAATGAAATGAGATGGAACTCAGAAACGTGAAGACAATGGGTAACCCATCAACTGCTCAGGAGGGCGCAGTACTTCCATCTTCATCATTTTAAGGTGAATGATGAAATCACCAATGCATGGGCTCCTGGGTGGCTCAGTGGGTTAAGCCTCTGCCTTCGGCCCAGGTCATGATCCCGGGGTCCTGGGATCAAGCTCCACATCAGGCTCTCTGCTCAGTGGGGAGCCTGCTTCCTCCTCTCTCTCTGCCTGCCTCTCTGCCTACTTGCGATTTCTGTCTGTCAAATAAAAAAAAAAAAAAAAGAAAGAAATCACCAATGCTTGTGAATCCTTACGTCATATGAACCCTAACATGCACAATGGTATTCCAGTGTCGGGATAAGTGACTTTTTTTTTTTTTTTTTAAGATTTTATTTATTTCTTTGAGAGAGAGAGCATGAAAGGAGAGAGGTCAGTGGGAGAAGCAGACCCAAGCCGAAGGCAGACACCCAACCAGCTGAGCCATCCAGGTGCCCTAACTGACTTATTTTTGAAAGAAAGTGGAAACCAGTTGGGGGAGAGGGGAAAATGTCTTAAGGGGAAAGTGCCAAATTTGGTAAGAGCTTAGGAGTTGGAATTAGATGCATGGGTACATGGTCAATAGGGCTAGACTTTGCTCCTTTGTAGATTTGGCCTTTAGGGAGTCAGTGTGACTTGTAAGTACATCAGTGAGGTCCCCTGTGGGATGGTGGGTGGGTGTCTGCCATGTCATCTTGAGAAGACTGACTTTGTGTTTTCAGGATGTTCCTGCTAATTGGGTTTTAATAACAATCATTTGGTTATAATTCCCACTTGTAGGTTATTTTTACCATAAAGTCTTCTCATATACGTGCTAATTATATATCTCCTGTCTGCTAACTTTTCCAAAGAAGTGAATTGCCATTAACTTGAATAAGTAGAATTTGGGGGTAAAAGGTGTTTGTTCAGTGATGCCACCGAATCTTTTTTATGAACTTACCACTGACTTAATTTTCTCTGGAAAGCACATCTCTTCCAAAAGAATGACCACATGCAGATGTTAAATAGCCATTGAATTCATAAGAAAACATTTGATTTTTTAGGATAACCTCTAGCTTGTCAGGAATGACAGCATTCAAACCCATACCTGGTTATTATATTTCTAGTTACAGTAGGAAATGAAATTTAACCCCTTTTCTCCTACTTACTTTCTCTTTGGTGGTTTCTTTCTTTTTTTTTTTTTTTAAGATTTTATTTATTTGACAGAGATCACAAGTAGGCAGAGAGGCAGGCAAAGAGAGAGGGGGGAAGCAGGCTCCCTGCTGAGGAGAGAGCCCGATGCGGGCCTTGATCCCAGGACCCTGAGATCATGACCTGAGCTGAAGGGAGAGGCTTTAACCCACTGAGCCACCCAGGCGCCCCTCTCTGGTGGTTTCTTTAAACCTTTGGTCTATGTGGACTTCTTAGCTTGGGTCTTGTAATAGAAGAAATCTAACAACTTGCTAAACTATCTTAGGCATTTTGGTTAATGGAAATTAGAAATGGCCACATTCAGGGCACCTGGGTGGCTCAGTTGTTGAGCATTTGCCTTTGGCTTGGGTCATGATCCCAGTGTACTGGGATCGAGCCCCGCATCGGGCTCCCCACTTGGTGGGAAGCCTTCTTCTCCCTCTCCCATTCCCCCTGCTTGTGTTCCCTCTCTCGCTGTGTCTCTCTCTGTGAAATAAATAAATAAAATCTTTTTTTTTTTTAAAAGGAGTGACCACATTCAAAAGACATAGTAAACCTTTATTTCGACTCTTTAATCTTTAAATCGACGTGCATAACATCATTTTCAAGGCACATGTACCAACCCGGATTTCTTTCAACCAGGTAGTGATAACCTTTTATCCATCTTGAAGAGAAAATGGTGGAAGTACGTCCTGCTCGGGCTAGCAGATGTGGAAGCTAATTACCTGATCGTCAGAGCATACCAGTACACCACTCTCACCAGTGTCCAGGTGAGGGGCCCTCCTCTGACCCGTGTGGGTTTTTCAGCTTCAAGAGAAGATTCTGAACCCGTATGTGCTAACCCAATTTTATGGAAAAGCCATTTCCTTGTAAAAAAAACATAAACACAGTGGACGCTGTCTGTTTCTTCATGGAACATAGGTGCTAATGAGTAAAATTTCCCTGAATTAGAGAAAATGTATACAAGTTAATCAGTTCCCAAACTGCCAAAGCTGTTACGGAATTAAACAGTTGCTACCAAAATAAGCATAAATATTTAGTTGGCAATTGATGCTGTGCTGTTGACAAGAGTTCTTTTTTAAGTTTGCTTGAAGATAAAAGGCATATAAAGGGAATGTACTTTTGTGCCGCAGAAAAGTGAATGTTTGCTAGGGAAGTAGATACTCGAGACAAAACGAGCCATTGGAGTCGTCAGAAGCAACCTTGTAGATATTTGGGGGTAGAGATTACGCACCTTGAGTAGCCAGAGGTAAAACTGATGTCCCTATTCCTTTTTTAGGTTTATTCTTGCTGCATTGAAGGAAAAATGTTCCTGCAGAGCAGTACTTTTTAGCTAGGTGTCGAGGAAGACTGATTCAGTTGTCTTGATGTTAGCGAACTCTGGGCTGTATCATGACAGTGAGTCACCCCTGCGAACAACTAAGGTTTCCTGAAGGGAAGTGAGAGTGAGAGACTCCAATGCCAGGTTTAGTCTTCACAATTAATAAATTTGTAAGTTTTTTTTTTTTTTAAGGTTTTTATTTACCTGAGAAGGAGAGTGAGAGACAAAGAGAACAGTAGCTGGGGTGAGGAGGAGGGAGAGAAGCAGACTCCCTGCTGAGCAGGGAGCCTAATGTGGGGCTCGATCCCAGGACCCTGAGATCGTGACCTGAGCTGAATTGAGACCCTTCACTGGCTGATCCACCCAGGTGCCCCTAAATTTGTAATTTTCTGATGTATCAGTTTTCTCACTGTATGAAACAGAGGTGTCCTTATCTCATCTCTGGAAAAATTAAAGTGTAATTAGACTTATTTTGCTTGGAAGATGTGAAGACTGATGAAAATTCAGTACTTTCCCAATGTGAATATACATTAAATGCTACCATTATCTGAATGCATCATATTAAATATTTTCTCTTCCGTAACATCGTGCTAATCATGCTAAGATTGGCTTCAGCAGACCTTTTGGTTTGGGGAAATTAGAGTTAAGACAGATATCACAGGAAGCATGTAGGAAAACCCAGCATTCATAAAAATTAAAACCAGGAGGTAGGGATGCTTGGGTGGCTCAGTGAGTTAACCGTCTGCCTTCGTCTCAGGTCATAATTCTTGGGTCCTTGGATCAAGCCCCCCATCGGGCTCTCTGCTCAGCGGGCTCTCTGCTCTCTCTGCTGTTCCTCTTGCTTGTGATCTCTCTCTCTCTCTCTCTCTGACAAATAAATAAATAAAATCTTAAAAAAAAAAACATGTTAAAACCAAGAGTTACCTAAAGGATCAAGTTCCTCACAAATAGGGTTACCTGTGCTTTTAGCTCTGGGTAATAAGCGTACACTTAAATAGAAGATGGCATTTCCTAGTCACATCTACCCTCCTTGTACACAATTTCTTGATTATAATTTCCAGGAATTCTGGGTGACCGATAATGACCAGTTTTGACTTGGTACAAGGTTTAAACGCAGCTAAGCAAAAACCCTACCAGTTGGGTCTCTGACTGAGGTTCATGCCTTAGATTATTGAAAACAGCTTCTTCCATTCTAGCCTCTTAGAAAAACAAGCATTTGGTCGTCACAAGTTACGTGCTCTGGTCCTCTCGAGGAGTCCGTGACAAAAAGGCCATCTGGCAGGCACAGCTCCCTGCTGAGGTGGTTTGGACTGTCCCTGAGACTCTTCCAGATGATTCTCTACTTGAGTAAATCTGCAGTTTGGGGAGAAGGATGGAAGTTGGGCTCTGGGGGTCTCTGAACCTCCACCTCAAGAATTCCTTCGCAGATGCTGGAGTGGCGACCATGGACTGAGTGGTTTACGGGAGGCTTACGTCGTGCCTGTGGGCACCCTGTGGGCTAAGTTTCTGCCCCTATGTCCTCCCGCTTTACCACTGTTCCTTCCTTTCCCCTCTGTTCCTTCCCCACCCACGGCCAGCTTCTCCTCCGTTGGGCTGCTCTGTTCTTCCTAGAACGCAGTGCTCTTTGACACCCCCGTCCTCCATTCTCTAAGGCCTCCTTCCGTCTCACTTTGTCCTTTCTGCTCCATGTCTAATAAAGTATTTCGAACAAAGTCTAACTCAGTTTTGTATCTGTGCCTCCCTCTGCTGGCTGTCTGACTCCATACCTTGCGGACTGTGGCTGGACAATAATTTTTTTTTTTAATTTATTTATTTGACAGAGACACAGCGAGAGAGGGAACACAAGCTGAGGGAGTGGGAGAGAGAGAAGTAGGCTTCCTGCCGAGCAGGGAGCCCAACGTGGGGCTTGATCCCAGCACCCTGGGATCATGACCTGAGCCGAAGGCAGCTGCTTAACAACTGCGCCACCCAGGGGCCCCAATAATTTTTAAAGATTAAGTTAAATAGGGAGGCTTTTGAGACTGAACTCATCAAGGAGAAGACAGCCATCACCAAGAGTATGTAAGAAGGAGAGTCCATGTAGGTAGATGGCCCGGTGTGCTAGAGAGCAGATGAGAAGTGGAACTTTTGAACCTGTGAGATCATCTGGTCTGATCTCTTCATTTCCGGTTGTGACGCCAAGGAGGACTGGCCAGGGAGCACGGCGTAGGAGCACGGCGTAGGCAGGTCCCTTAGATGGCCACTCACGGCCCACCCCAAATTGTTGAAAATAGAGCACATTTCTTTTTAAGATTTTATTTATTTATTTGACAGAGAGGGATCGAGAGAGCACAAACAAGGGAGCGGTAGGCAGAGGCAGAGAGAGAAGCAGGCTCCCCGCTGAGCAGGGAGCCCCACTTGGGGCTGGATCCCAGGACCCTGAGATCATGACCTGAGCCGAAGGCAGAGGCTTCACCGATGGAGCCCCCCCAGGCGCCCCCAGAATAGAATAAACTTAAGTTCAATTTTAAGACACAATTTGAGGATAGGGAGTCTCCTGTGAGACTTTAGAGAGAGATCTTTTTAAAATTTTTTTTACCTTTTTTTGTTTAAGGAACATCGCTTAGACTTTGTTAAGTCATTATGGCTGGATTGTGCTGGCGTCTTCCGGGACAGGCTGTTATCATTTGCATCGTTTAATGGTCTGTTATTCAGGCTGGCTCCGTAAAGCACTTAGGGGATTGGAGCTCTGCAGCTGGAATAAATAACAAGGCGAGGTGCCCGTTCCCGCACCCAGACGCACCGGCCTCCAGGACTGACACTGCAACAAAAGGCAATCAGTCAGCAGCCGGGGATGGGCTCGAAGAGGCTGCGGGAGATTTAGGGCCTTGTCCAAAATGCGACAGACACAGAGAGAATCCAAGTCAAGGTTAAAAACAAAAAGAAGAACAGGAGGAATGGTAAAGGAGGTTTGGGACTACTGTTAGCATATGGAATATATTTTATCCTTGAATGCACTTCACGTGATTTGTGAATTCAAGAATGGAGGGAATAAAATCTCCATTTTTCCCCCCTTAATCTTACAAGTAATTTTGAATTTGGTGTGATTTTTGGCATTGCCTTGTAGTCTGGCCATATTATTAGGCGTGGAGAGGGTTTTTCTGGACCCATGATCATTGGGTGATGGAGGAATATGGATTTGCTGTGAGCTATGGTGGGGTTGGCCACTCTGTCAGGGAGATGGTGTCCTTGGGCTTTCTGACAGTCTCCTGTACCTCTCGGTGGCTCTTAGCCCAACAGCAGTTAAATACCTGCTTGTGTGACTATTTCTTCTGTGTCTGTCTAGCCTTCTGTCTGCTCCTGAGGGCTTGGGCTGTGTCTCTCTCTGGTTCTCTGCAGTCCAGCTCCTCTCCTAAGGTCTCCCCGACCTGAGGTGCAGAAGTACTGGTCGAGTGAGGGAGGGCAGGTCTGCCTGCTGGACTGGAGGAGAAACACGTGTCTATGAGACAGACAGAATCCCTGGGGTCAGCCACTGGTTCTCCTGCTTCCAGCTGTGGGATTCGGAGCACCTCATTTAACCCGACTGCGCCTTGGTTTTCCTCATGTGTAAAATGGGGACCGTGGTTTCAGTCTCACAGGGCTGTGAAGATACAATGAGTCCATCCAGGGGAAGGTAAACCCGGGTAATCCCGGTAGATCGCTGTCGAGACATACCGGACGGGCAGGAATAAAGGCAGGCTCCGAGCCTGAGTCACCATGTTTTAGCTGGACAGAAGGCTCACGCTGTTGGTGTCTCCTTCCTTGCAGCTCTTGGACTGCTTTGGGATCCCTGTGTTGATGGCTCTCTCGTGGTTTATTCTTTACGCAAGATACAGAGCGACCCACTTCATCGCCGTGGCTGTGTGTCTGTTGGGTGTGGGGACGATGGTCGGTGCAGACATCCTGGCGGGGAGGGAGGACAATTCAGGTGAGGCTGCGGTCCTTCTGCTTCGGTCACAGAAAACAGTGTTGCTTGTGTTTTCGCTTCCGTATTGCAAAGCTCTATGGGAAAAGACAGAAGACATGTCTTGCTTAAACTGTCTTTTCAGTTTTATTTTCACATTTACTGGCTTCTGCTGTCGGGACACGGTCCACCAACTGTGCTTTGCATTCCTGCCCGCCCATCGTCCATGTTCCTTTTTGTCACACTAAATAGTTTTGTTTTGTCTCATGAGAGAGAAGTTTCTTTAAATATTTGCAATAATCCTCTTTTGGCCCATCCATTTGGATTAGTTACTGGAAAGCCTACTGTAGGGGCGCCTGGGTGGCTCAGTGGGTTAAGCCTCTGCCTTTGGCTCAGATCATCTCAGGGTCCTGGGATTGAGCCCCGCATCGGGCTCTCTGCTCGGCAAGGAGCCTGCTTCCCCCTCTCTCTGCCTGCCTCTCTGCCTACTTGTGATATCTGTCTGTCAAATAAATAAATAAAATCTTTAAAAGAAAGAAAGAAAGAAAGAAAAAAATCCTACTGTAGATTCATGGCTCTTTATCAGAAGGAAGCTTCTGTCCACTGGGTGACCGACCTCTTTCCAGTCACTCCGTGAATGAGAACACTTGGACTTCCTTCGGGTCAAAGTTCGGATGATGCTATAAAATCTAAATATGGTGTCTGAGTCTACCTAGTCTACAAGTGACTTCACGGTGTCCTCGTATTGAGAGAAGACGACCTTGACTACCTAGCTTCCTTCCCTGTAGCCTTTAGTTAATTCCCTTCCCTAAATTCCATTAATTTCTTTGTCATAGAATCATTTCCTAAGGCCTTACATTATCCCTTTTCCAGTCGCGTCATCTCCCGAGGGGTCAGAATATGAAAAATCACGGCAGTATTATGCTAGGAAGTGAGAGGAGTAAGAGTCTTTAAACTTCTAGAAACCAGGGTCACCCCTTCTGAACCAGATCAACGCCTAGAACCAGGCGAGAAGGGTCCCCTCTCTTATCGCTGTGTACCTTTTTGTGTCTTGTCTTCCTGTAGGCAGTAACGTCCTGATTGGTGACATCTTGGTCCTTCTAGGCGCTTCCCTCTATGCTGTGTCTAACGTGTGTGAAGAGTACGTTGTAAAGAAGCTGAGCCGACAGGAGTTTTTAGGGATGGTGGGCTTATTCGGAACAGTGATCAGCGGCATACAGCTGTAAGAGTCTAAAGTTTCCCTTCAGAACAAAATAAGCCCATCTGTGGGACACGAGTCCTTTCCAGCTACCGGCATTCACTGTGGTTTGGCCCAGATTCCCACGTGAAATCAGCAGCTGGCTAACGATTAGAAGATTCTTGAAATATCGAGAATCGCAGCTTGTTTTCTTACATGCTCGTGAGGCTTAGGATTTCTGCTTACGGTGTGGTACAGGCAGTCCCAGTACAGACTTTATTTTTCAGTTATTAACAGAAAATATTAACTCCCTGTTCAAATGGAAAGCATAATCTCATGCTGGGTGCTATTTGAAGAGTGCCTCGAAGGGCCTTGAGCATGTTTGTGGGCTCCTTTGTTTTTATTCGTTGTCATTTATCTTAAAGATACTTATTTTTATGCACTAAGAAAAATTTAAAACTCAACATAATTCCTCACCTTAGCTGGAGTAGAGCACCTAAAATGCCTATAAGCTAGTGACAATGAGTGTGTGGTTCTCTCTGGTTTTGCTCTCAGGTTGATCGTGGAATATAAGGATATCGCCGGCATTCCGTGGGACTGGAAGATCGGTATGTACATACGTGGTCTTCCTCTGAGTCAGTAGCCTTTCCTCTTGAGTGACAAAAGTACGCGTCGAGAAATAAATACTTCATTTACGTAATATTAAACCATTTCTGTAAAATCACAGAGCAGTGGTACCCAGAGGTCTCCAGGGTTTTACATCGAGTTTTCCCTGAGAACTCGTAAATGAACCTTCACAGGAGTTAATTCTTAATCTTTACCCCCAGGAAGAGCTTTTCTTTACCAGGAATTCTGAACAAGACCAACTGACCTTTGGTCACACTCACTTTCCATTAGGTCTGCGTCGCGAGTCCTCAAACCTCGTTTGAAGGTTGTCTGCTCCATGTAATTCGTGAAACATTAACCCCAATACTCTGATGGCGTGGAATCCACCGCCTTCCGTATGACTCTCACCTGACGTTCCTGGGCATCTGCACAAACTAACAATGTAGCAAACAGTGAGGGAACGGTTAGGAAGGACTCCTCCAACCTTATTTAATGACGGGTGGAAGGAAGTTAGAAACAGTCCGTGAAATGTCACGACGTTTGTAGGCTGTGCTTACGTAATTTGATTCAGTTAAAGAACTTGGCTTGTGAGAGTGCGAGCGAGTGTGCGTGAATGTGAGTGGGGCTGTGTTGAGTCTGGGGGTGGGACTGAAGGAGTGGTTGCTAAGCTGAGCGGTCACTAGCTGTGCCCTGAAGAGGATGGTTATACCGTGCTTTCAGAGAGCGCTGAATTTAGTGACGTGAGCACAAGGTAATGAGCATAAGCTGCCTTGGGTGACTAAAAATGCTTTATTCTGAATCCAGTGACACGAATCATGTCCAACCATTGAACCAGATAAAAGCAAACGAAAGACAATGGTGATTTTTCTTGATAGTGATTCTGCTTTTATTGACCTTTTATCACAGCATCACGCTCTCTGGGGTGGGCGGTTGGGGCCAGTGATGAGAGCTGCTGAACCATTCACACCATGAGCAAGTCCCCACGGACTTCACCATCGAACACCGTGTTGCGATTTTGAAGTCCTTCCTCGGTGTCGTATCTTGTTATTATTATGACTACTTTTTTTCCCTGAGGGATTTCTGTACCTCATGTGCAATGCTGAGCGTCAGCAAGTGGCTCTGTAGAGAGTTTGTGGAAGGGTCAGGGAATTGTACATGGCAGCCAAGCCTTAAAAGGGTCTTTGCCTTCTGATTTCTTCCTGTAATGTTAGCTGTCACACTTTGCTTTTTCTGCAGCTCTGCTGTTTGTGGCGTTTGCCCTCTCTATGTTTTGCCTGTACAGCTTCATGCCACTAGTGATTAAAGTCACCAGTGCCACCTCTGTGAACTTGGGCATCCTGACGGCCGACCTCTACAGTCTTTTCTTTGGACTCTTTCTGTTTGGCTATAAGGTAAGCAAATAGATCGTGTTCAAATAGGAACACTTGCTTGGCCTAAAAGAAGCTGTGGGTGTCTTTACTGTTTTAGATCCACAAATAAAACCTCATCTTTTTGGGCAACAATCTCATTGGACGATCTCCATTCCACGCAAATAGAATCATGTTCATAATATAATAAGAGTTTTGATGTTATAGACCTCTGAATGGGTCTTGGGTACCTTCAAGGTCTTGGGAGTGCACTTTGAGAACTGCTACATTGGAAATCTGTCTTTCTTGAGTATACCTTCAGTAAATGCTTGTCGATGAGCTTGCTATCCCAGTTATTTGAACAAATACTGAGAATGTTGGCTGTTGCTTGATACTTGTAGTTTCATTTGGGGACAGCAAATACATTTCTTTGTCCTTGTAGAATTTTATACCCAGGCAGAAATTGCTTGGCACTGTTTTACACTATTCCCAGGAATTGGCCATGAACTCAAAGTGCCTCGTTCAGTGGGTTCTCAAAAATTTCTGCTTAAGAAACATAAACCATTTGCCTTACATATGAAAGGAACTCGGTGTTATCTTTACAAACTTGGTGGTTAAGGTGTTCCTGAACTTAGACTGAAAGAGTATTTGTAACTTTTTGTTGCATCATTAAAAAGTAACAAATGTCAGAGTGAATCAGAGAAGTGACCTGACAGACCTAGATTTTTAAAAATTTATTATTATTATTTTAAAGATTTTATTTATTTATTTGACAGAGATCACAGGTAGGCAGACAGAGAGAGAGAGAGAGAGAGAGAGAGAGGAGGAAGCAGGTTCTCCACTGAGCGGAGAGCCCAACGCGGGCTTGATCCCAGGACCCTGAGTCATGACCCGAGCCGAGGCAGAGGCTTTAACCCACTGAGCCACCCAGGCGCCCCTATTATTATTTTTTTTAATGAGAACAGTTGCCAAGGGCTACAAAATGAGCCTTAAAAGTGAGCTGTGGTGCTGTGCTTGCATTTCACATGGCTGCCACCAGGAGGCGATGTTGTTTCTATTCTGCAGTTAAGCTTAGTGGTTATAGGTTATCTATGTAAAATAGGACCCCACTCACCTGTGCGTTTTTCTTTTTAAGCCAAATATATTGATTTAGCTTTAGTAGTTTAATTTCTTCTAAGTAAAATACTATCCTAGCGGGAAGGAGGAAGTAAGGTTAAAGAAAGAAAAGCTTTTAAAATACCTGCCACTACCTGTTATAAGCTCCTTTCCTGTAGATAATTGCTCTTTAACTGCTCTTAACTTGAACATGAAAAAGCTTTTTGTATTTCATTTTTTTGACCATATAACTTTAAACCGTTATTCTCAAAATTAGAGCATGCGAACGTTAAATTCCTTCTCCGTTCTTTTGCATAAAGTTTCTTTGTCCCTGCACGTCTCTTAACCCAGATCAGATTTGATTGTTTTTGTTCAAAGGCCATTTCAAGACTTGTAGAGCAAAGAGTGGGTCTGCTGTGATCTTCAGAGTAAATTATAGAGGTGGGAAACCATTCAGAGCTTAAAGAAGATACCTAGCGCTTAAAAAAAGTTATTTAAAGATTTTATTTATTTATTCATGAGAAGTAGAGAGAGACAGAGGGAGAAGCCAATTCCCCATGGAGCAGGGAGCCCGACATGGGACTTGATTGTAGGACCCCGAGAGATCATGACCTGAGCTGAAGGCAAATTCTTAACCTACTGAGCCACCCAGGTACGCAATACCTAGCATTTTAGAAGCAGTTTTTAAAGGCAGTTATAAGCCCAGTATACCACCAATTCTTAAAATTGTAGTTTCTAAAATAACCTTGGCTCTGATTTTTAAAATCCACAGTTGAAAAGTTTAAAAATTTCTGCACTCCTCAGTGTTAGACTCTGCCTCTTCTGGAATTGATCTTGAGTAAATACTTACTGACCAGAGTAGCCACAAGAAACTTCCAGTATAGATCCTGACACAAACAGTAGAATTAAAAAAAAGAAAAAAGAAAAGAAAAAAAAAAGAATGAGAAGAAGGAAGATAAAGTCTAGAGCCTCTAATTCAGGAGACTTCCCTCTTTCCCTCAGAGTCTCTCCCTTCTAAGGGAAATGACTCCATTTAATCACCTGGTTCTTAAGAGGATCCAACCATTTAAAACCACCAAACCAAACAGGACATGTTTTGAACAAGTTATGTTCCCTACAGGTAACAGTAAACCTTTTATAGGAGGGCATAGATACCGACTTTATAATACTGACTTTGAAAGTTTTAAGGGTAATCTAAATAGGTTAATTTTCCCTAATAGTCTCTGAATCTTCTTTTTCCCCAACAAATATTTATTAAATGCCAGCTGTGTTTGGCCATGCTTGTGAGGACCATGCTTGGTTTGGATCCAAGAACTAAAGCCAGGTTTGGGTGTCAAGCCAAGCTTGACTCGCGTCATTATCATTGACTCTTTGCACTGAATCTGGTGAAGGCTTTCCTGCTTTGGGGAAGGCTGTGGCTCTTCCATTCCTTAAAGATATCTAAAGGCTTAAGGTTAAGAAGTGATTGAGCATTTTTAGAAAATAAACGTGCAGAAGCCAGTGGTGACTCAGAGAAGCCCGGAGATGACCAGGACTGTACATAATACTCATTTCAAAACTCTATTTAGTTCCTCCTGCTACTTTTTGGAGTGTATCTTGTTTTCTCCTCTCTCCCCCTCTTCTCTTCTTTCCCAGTCTGTTATGTTTTCATAGTTTTTCTTTATCACCTTCTTATTAGAACTCTTTTTAGGCATTAGAACTCTTTGGGGAATACTTTGAAATCTTAAGTGAATTAAACATTTGTTGGCTTGAATAAAATAGGATGCTCCATTCTTTTTTTTTTTTAATTAAGATTTTATTTATTTATCTGAGAGGGCACAAGTGGTAGGGAGGGTAGAGGGAGAGGGAGACTCCCTACTGAGTGGGGAGCCTAAAGCGGGGCTCAACCCCATAACCCCAAGATCATGACCTGAGCAGAAGTCAGACGCTTAACCGACTGAGCCACCAAGCACCCCCAGCATCCTCCGTTCTTAACTTTGAAATCAGGTTAGCAGGACCACTCATAAATTTGAGTGGTCATAAATTTGCTCATAAAATTTGCTCATAAATTTGCTCATAAAATTGCTTGTACCAAGAAAAAAAAATGATCCTGGGCGTTTAATTGCACATTAATTATGTTACATAGTTTCCTTAATTTTTACTACATCATCCTTGGTCAGTCTTCAGCTCTTCTCTTTCTTTCTTTGATCTTTCATGCTGTTAAAAACAATTATTAAGGGGCGCCTGGGTGGCTCAGTGGGTTAGGCCTCTGCCTTCGGCTCAGGTCATGGTCTCAGGGTCCTGGGATCGAGCCCCGCATCGGGCTCTCTGCTCAGCGGGGAGCCTGCTTCCCTTTCTCTCTCTGCCTGCCTCTCTGCCTACTTGTGATCTCTCTCTGTCAAATAGATAAATAAAATCTTTAAAAAAAAAAAAACAACAATTATTAATTTCCTTAGTACTTGGACTTTTGTCTGGATCTTCCATTCAAATAAGAGCAAATATGCAAAGTGCATATTATTATTTATTCAAACTTTGGGGGTATGTCAGAAGGCCGTTTTCCAGTAATAATAAACGGTGAATTCGTGTTTTTGTCTTCACTGCATTTTATTCTGGGTGTTTGTTTTCCTAACAGAGGGGGCGGGTTGGAGAAGGTCACCAGAAACTCTGTCCATCCTTGTGGTATGTTTGTCAAAATGGGCTCTCGCTGCAGTTGGTCCTTCCGGAAGCGCAGACGGTGGGAGGCTCACCCACAAGGCTCCGCGCCCTGGGCTTGTCCGACTGCACTTCACACCAGTGACCTCTTGGGGTTTGAGACTTTTCCAAAAAATGATGTTCTTCGAGCTCTAAAAATCTTACCTTCGCGGTCCACCATAAATCTGATTGTGTTACCCTTGTCTACCGAAAGAAGATAATTTATTAAATTTTAACAAGCTGGATTTTATTGCATTCGCATGCACAAAGGGTTGTGGAGAACTTGTCTTCTCTGTTCGCCCACATTTTATCCTGGGTCCCGTGTTTCTCTGTTTCATAGCCACATTACAAGCAGGGCTTAGGGTCTGAGATTGGCTCTCTCCTCGTGTCTGGGTTGACCTCTCATGGTCTGCACTGAGTGGGGCTGGTTGCAGGGTGGAGGTCCAGCTGGGCGTAGCACAGAGAAAGGCAGAAGTTCCGTTTCCTAGAGATGCAGGGATCGGCTGATGGGGCAGGTGATGCCCGAGACCGTGTCTTCACACGCGCGTGCACCGGAGGGTTTGGGGTGTTGGCATCTCCTTAGGCAGCTTCCAGAAACAAAGGTCACGAGAACGCGTGGTTGGCCCAGGGCAGCAGCCGGCCTGCGTTTGCCAGAGACCACAGCCCCCCGCCTGTTCTCCTCCTAGTTCTCCGGGCTCTACATCCTGTCCTTCACCGTCATCATGGTGGGCTTCGTGCTGTACTGCTCCACCCCGACGCGCACGGCTGAGCCGGCGGACAGCGACGTGCCGCCCGTCACCAGCATCGGCATCGACAACCTGGGGCTGAAGTTGGAGGAGAACCTGCCGGAGGCCCACTCCGCCGCCTTGTAGCTGGAGAGGAAGGTGCCGAGCGTGGGCACCCGAGGCTTCCTGGGAAACCGGGGGCCGTCGCTGGGAGGCGGCAGAGCCTGCTAGGGGCAGAGGGGACTCTTGGAAAATTATTGGGGGGGGGCGAGCCCTGCGACATTGGATTGGAGCCAGTGGTTAGATTTTACAAAGGAATAGAAAATAATGCATCAAAACTGGAAATCCGAAAATAGAGCAGAAGCTGAGGTGGGTAGGATCGTGTGTCTGTGGGTTTGAGGACCAGTGCCAAGTCGTGCCAGGGAAACAGGGTGTGCGCCATGCTGGGGTCTTGGAGGCACCCGAGGGAAAGCCTGGTGGGGCCAATACCCAGGCGTGATCCAGCCTCAGGGCGCGGCCGCAACAGGGCTATCCTGGTGGGAGTAGGGGCAGTCCAGGCCAGTTTGGGAGGGGAGAAGCCTTCCACAGTTGGAGGCCTCTGGGTGTTTTGTCTTGCTGAGGTCGTCCTTGTCCGCAAGCCCTGTGGCCCACCATGGGGTCTGATGATTGATTGCATATGGCAGCAACGGGGGTGGGGTAGCTCTTGAGAAAGACTGGGATACCACTGTGAGCACCATCCAGGCAGGAAAGAGGGGTGGTGCGGTAGACCTGGGGACCCTCTGTCCGTTGTTTGAAGAGGACAGTGCATGGCTTCTCACTGAGGATTTGTAAGGTGCCGTGAAATTTTTACGATACTTCTTCAATTCACAGTGTGAATGTGTAGCATCATCATGATTATCCACGACCATGCTGCCACTTTGCAAAAACTGCAAACTCTACGTAAACTTTTTTTTTAATGTAATAAAGAAATTGAGGGTAACTGTTCATGTGATTAAAAGATTTTGATTTCATGGCAATACATTCGTTGTGTGGTTTCTTTGATGAACCCATTCCCCTTCTGGATTTTTAAATGACTTAATATAGTCAACATTTCTTCCTGTCCAGCTTCTCAGAATCATGTCTTCGGTGAGCTGTGGCAGACCTACCTGGGGTTATGTTGGGATGGAGGGGAAGTCAGAGGGAGCCCACAGATCATTTGCTGGAAGAAACTTTTTAAAATTCTGAATTCCCTTAATTTTTTCTTTTCCTTTTTTTTTTTTAAGTTTTTTGAGTGAAATAACTTTTTCTTGTCTGCAGCCCGTTAAAACTGATGTTTGATTTTCACTGTGTATCATTCACAGCTGCCAATGAATGGGAAAAGGTTAGGTTGCCGTATTTCGCCTTTGGGGCAAGACTTCCATTTGGATGAACATGTTGTTTCTTAAACACCCTGCCTAGGAACAAACCTGTGTGCGCGGGGTGACGTGAAGAGCCTGCGGTGACGGCACCCCACATGCGTGTCAAGTCTGAGCTCAGCCGTCATCTCTTGCTCTGAAGCCTTTCTCAGGCTGTCAGGCCCCCTTTCCTCTAGGTTCCCAGGGCCCTTGTTCATATATTCCTTGTTGCACTTATGGAGTGCTTGCTGTTTACCTGCCGTTCCTCGACACTAGCTGAGCTCTTCGAGGTCAACCGTGGTCTCTATTCATCTTTCTAGACCTCTTTTTGTCTCACTTCTTGGGCATTTAGTTACTTTAAAAAAAGATTTTGTTAATTTACTGGAGAAAGAGGGCAAGCAGGAGCAGCGGGGTGGGGCGAAGGGAGAGAGAGAAGCAAACTCCCCAGCCGAACAGGGAGCTCGATGCAAGGCTCGACCCCAGCACCCCGAGATCTCTACCTGAGCTGAAGGCAGACTGAGCCACCCAGGCGCCCCCTTGGACATTTATTAAGTGAACTTTGTCTCTGGCTGCAGTTCAGAACATTTAAGGGGAGACTGACCAAAAGCAAGGCGTTTTATGCAGATATATGTGCGCAGTGTTAATCTCACCCTGCTTGGCTTTTTCCCCTCGTCCCCCTAAACCCAGTGTTTTTTCTCCTCACCTGCTCCCTCTGGAGAGGGGCAGAGGAGTTCAACCCTGAGCATCCTAAATCAAAACTTAGAATTCATAGGGCGCCTGGGTGGCTCAGCGGGTTAAAGCCTCTGCCTTCGGCTCGGGTCGTGATCCCGGGGTGCTGGGATCGAGCCCCGCGTCGGGCTCTCTGCTCAGCGGGGAGCCTGCTTCCTTCTCTCTCTCTCTGCCTGTCTCTCTGCCTACTTGTGATCTCTGTCAAATAAATAAATAAAATCTTTTAAAGAGAAAAAACAAAACAAACAAACAAAAAACTTAGAATTCAGTGTTCCAGAGAAGCTGTGCTGTGATTGACAGTCAGCACTTAAATAATCGGACCACAAACCCTGCATCCTGGTTTATACAAGTCCGTAAAGACCGAGAGTTCCCCCCGTCTCGGTACCACCACTTCCATGGAAAATGTATTTTCAAACATCTGGCTCACATACAAGCTTTTGAAATGTAACACGTTCTTAAGCTGATAACCTCCCATAAATTCTTTCCCACTCTATTAGAAGAATATTGATTTTTCAGTATTTTCTTGTAGATATTTATGCCATTAACAAAACCCTGCTGAATAGTATAATAGGGCTGCTGGATTGTTCCCTCGTGTTGCATTGAGGTAATAAATTGCGCATTTGGACTGTGGTGATGCTGGAAGAAGAGAGGGCTTGGCTGGGGTCATTCTCACTGTTTGGACTTGGAAACTATGTTCTCTGGTTGACAGTGAACGTTTCCCCTCTTTTTTGGGACCAGTGGCTTGCGGAGAATGTATGTGTGTTATCCATGGCGTGTCCAGCAGGTGGCGCCTTAGCAAGTATGACAAAGACCTGTGACCTAAACCACCTTGCATTTTACAACTTCTCCAGGTCCTTTTTAAAAGATTTTGTTTATGCATTTGAGAGAGAGAGCGCGCACAAGCAGGGAGGAGGGGAAGAAGGAGGCGGGGGGAAGCAGACTCCCTGCTGAGCAGGGAGCCCCACATGAGGCTGGATCCCAGGACCGACCTGAGCTGAAAGCAGGTGCTTAACTAGCTGAGCCCCCCAGGCACCCCTAAAAGAGGTTGTTAGGATGACTACCCTCAGCAGAGATTGTCTTCGATGAGCCGCCGAAGGACGGAGCTCTCAGGCAAGCTGAACCATCTCGAGGAGGGCACACAGTTTGGTGCCCGTGGTGAAAACAGAAGCCAGGATTGCTTTCAGCAGCTTTAGCAGCCTGCAGTAGGCACCCACCCGACCCCATCCCCCGACCGCTGAGTCAGCACACACATCCTGGGAGAGAAGGTGGAAGATTCTCGTGTAGAGCCCAGCTTGTTAGTGCAGTTTTCCCCGCAGCCCCGGAGCCTGCCCTTTTAAGCGTCTGTCCGCCTGTGTGTCTGTGGCCCTCTGTATGCCTAGTCACGGTTCTCTCCTCCATCATTATTATGGGGACGTGCCATTTCCATCCACATTTAATCACTTAGTATCTGGACATATCCTCAGCCCTCAAAAAGAGATCCATAAATCAGGGAAATTCAGCAGATAGCCACTTAGCTGATGAAAAGGCAAGAGATTTATGAGGAAATTAGGTAATGCTGAACAGGCAGTTCTCCAGTAGCCTTAGAAAGGGCGTTTTGAGACGTCCAGCAATCTAGAGATGGTATCTCAAGGGGAGTAAAGGCGCTTCAGACCAGCAAAATTTTACTTGCAGAATTTAATGCCCCCCCAATGTCTTCTCTTAATGCTTTTGTCATGCACTTTATTCCTTGGTCTCAGTATTATCTTCTTAGAACAATCTTTTATTTATTTATTTTTAAGATTTATTTTATTTATTTGAGAGAGGGGCTGCGAAGAAGCAGAGGGAGAGGGACAAGCAGATCCGCACTGAGCGTGGAGCCCAACGCAGGGCTCCATCCCACCACCCCAGATCACAACCCAAGCTGTAATCGGGAGTCCAATGCTCAACCCACTGAGCCACCTGGAGGCCCCTCGAGCAATCTTCAAGTGCAGATACTTTTGGAGGAGGAGAAAATTTAGGTTGGAAGGGAAAGAGAAGTGATACCAAGGAAAAATACAAAAGTCATTTGAAAAACTGTTGGCTCCACCTGATCGCATCAAGTATTCAGATGGTGCCAAATGGTCATCCCGCGACCAGCTGTTACTAGCCATGGCTGACCCAGTGGAGAGGCTGATATGACGAAGCTGGAGTTTCCGTGCAGAGTCCCACCTTCCTTGACCACAGATGTCTCTTCCTGCTGGGTAACCAGGCTTTTCAATCGTGCCCGAGTATTTCCCATTTTTTCGTTCTTTCAGATTTCTTTTCAGACTTTGGTCTTGTGAGCCCGTGTAAGACCTCATCCAGCTTGGTCTTTGTGAAAAGACTGCCAGTTCAATGCGTACACCTTTACACGCGGGGACACGCACAGACACGCCACCGACACCGCCGTCACAAGTAACACCAGCCCCGTCCCCACCTTGCCTCTACCATCTCTTTTCTCCAGAAATTGCTTTGTCGGTAAGATTGCTTGCAGCTGCTTCAGGGAATCTGCCCCCACCCTTGACACCCACCTAGAGGCATTCCTGTAAAGCCTCGGTTCCCTAGTCCATCTGTTGGTTGAGTGTAAATGGTACCTTCACTTGCACACAACTGGTACACATTTATTTGATCCCTACTATCCATTCGGAGGATTAGATGGGAGGAGGAGAGCCAGGGCCTGATTCCTGATCTGCTCACTAAAGTGTGAGCCATGCCAGAGCAGGGGTATGTGACTCGACTGGGGAGCGAAGTGTCCATCCCCTAGGACTGTTAGGTCCTGATGCACAAACATCGTCCATGCCCCTGTCTCATTGTGCAGAGCAGAGCAGGATGACTCCAGGTCAGGCCAGGAGACTCTGGGAGACTTATTTGTAGAGAGCAGGGCAATTTCTTTTCCTTTTTTTTCCCCAGGTAGAAATTTACTTATTTATTTTATACATGTATATATGTATATTTTTATTGTGTTATGTTAGTCACCATAAAATACTTCATTGGTTTTTGATGCAGTGTTCCAAGATCCATTGTTTATGCATCACACCCAGTGCTCCATGCAATACCTGCCCTCCACAATACCCACCACCAGGCTTACTCAACCCCCCAGCCCCCGCCCCTCCAAAACCCTCAGTTTGTTTCTCAGAGTCTACAGTCTCTCATGGTTCATCTCCCCCTCCGATTTCCCCCAACTCACTTCTCCTCTCCATCTCCCAATGTCCCCTGTGTTATTCCTTATGCTCCACAAATAAGTGAAACCACATGATAATTGACTCTCTCTGCTTGACTTATTTCACTCAGCATAATCTCCTCCAGTCCTGTCCATGTTGCTACAAAAGTTGGGTATTCATCCTTTCTGATGAAGGCATAATATTCCATTGTATATCTGGACCACATCTTCTTTATCCATTCGTCTGTTGAAGGGCAT